ACAGATTGTGTATCACGGTATCTGGACCATAGCCTGCTTATGACAGACTGAGAAACATTCATCGTCCGCGCCACAACCGCCTGTGTTGTGCCGATCTGTAGCATGCCAAGGGCACGTAACCTTTCATTTTGGGTAAGCCGACGCATATCAAAATTTGTTTTCTGGTCACTAAAACAATTAAACTGATGTTTCCACCCTGGAATTCAATGCCACAATGACTGTAACATTCAAAGTCAGAGTCGTGCAAATCTTGGGTTGGACCCCCATGATGATCCCAAGCATCACCTGCATTCCATGCGGTAGCTATTGGTGCGTTTGGGCGTCACATGTAACTGGAAATGTTTCTTCTGTTAGGTTCTATAGTGACTTTTTTCGTAGTCATTTGCATATTTTAGTATTATGCCCCCAAAATCAAATATCCCCTACTTTTTTTGAATAGTATATATACTTTGCATTAATATGTTTTAAAATTTTATTTTCTAATATAAAGGTAACAATTATTTTCGTGATAATTATATCTAGGTTTTTCTTGGCGCTAGGAATATGTGTGCTAACTTGATCTCGAATCCGGGCGCTGGAATACGGGTGAGAGAATATGTGTGCTAACTTGATCTCGAATCCGGGTGCTGGAATACGGGTGAGAGAATATGTGTGCTAACTTGATCTCGAATCCGGGCGCTGGAATACGGCACACTGATTAGCAGTGAATTTTCGCTAGACCGCTACAATCACTGATAAGGATGACATCGATGCGGCTTATTGAGTCCCAAATATTAACTTTTTTCTTCCGTCAAATTAAATTCTAAAACATTTTTTGTTCATTTATTAGAAAAATAGATAAAGACGTTTGAATTGTTTGTAGGTAAAAATCATTTCCTATTTAGTGTAAATGGGTATTAAAATAAGTAAAATTCACCCGAATCAGTAACGTCTTATGTAAACAATGCACGCGCTATTGGCCAATGATTGACGCCGCGTGATGTGACGTCACGTGTCGAAACAGTCATCTGTTACAGAGATATTAGAAGATCTCTATGAAACAGATTTGGAATACGGGTGAGAGATTCCGCTCGGTGCAAAATGCTGCCTTTTACTCATTTTGATACCCACTTACATTTAAATAGGAAATAATTTTTAGCTACAAATACTTCAAACGTCTTTATTTATTTTTCTAATACATAGATAAAATTTTTTAAAATTTAATTTGTCGGAGGAAAAAAGTTAATATTTTTGGCTCATTAAGTCGTATCGATGTCATCCTTATCAGTGATTAAAGCGGCCTCGCGAATATTCACTGCTGATCAGTGTGCAACATTCAGTTAAGTAACTCGCGACTTGTGGGTTACTCGGGACAATCGGGTAGACAAATCACCGGAATTCACTGGAATTCATTTACAATCACCGGAATTCACTTCTAAAATCCCCGATTCCTCCCACAAAACTCACTTATTTTAAATGTATAATACATTATTGATCTCTCCACAGGCCAGATAAAGGCGCTGTAGGTGAATTTATTTGAAAGACTACCGGAATTCATTTCAAATATATGCATCATATAACAGTCAATAACCCGAAAAATGTTGACTGTGGAAACACAATATAACAATTTACTTGAATTCAATGACGTCTATACTAACTAGACCGCGCGCTCCCACTGAATGATGCAAGACGCCATGGCCAATCAGTGTTGACTTCCGGCAGTGGGTGAAAGTAAGTAGGTCAGCTGGTTTCTAATGTCAACACATGGGAACGCTCTCGATAATAAGATCTAATTAGACTTGGTTTAAATTCGCAATAGGAAATTTTAATCAAGAATGAATATGTACGGTTCTTGAATCTTCAGTTTATTTAACAAATGATACAATTGTAGATGTCTAAATAGATTCATAATAAAGTAATGAAAGACCGAAATGGACAACCTTTCACGTTTGAAGACTGAAGTAAAATCTTGAAAATGTAAAAAAAAATTACCATTATTAATAATAATAATAATTTTATTTATTCAGTATGCATATGATACGATGTATAAATACAGATGACACTTGAAAATATATGCAGAATGATTGTTCAAGCAATTATAAATAAATTAATGAATAATGAAAAGATGGATCATTTTAACATAAGCCTAATAATAAATTAATTTTTGGATATAAATATGAAAGTGATTTTTCAAGCAATTAAAAATAATTTAGTTTATGATTTCTGGACTTATAATTTTAACATAATAAATTATTTGATTTTTGGATAAAAATATATAACTATGAGTGATTTTTCAAGCAATTAAAAAGAATTTAGTGTATAATATATGGACGGATAGTTTTAACATAATAAACTTTTGGATATAAAAATAAGAGTGATTTTTCAGCTAATTAAAAATAATTTAGTGTTTAAGGATGAATAATTTTAACATAATAAATTATTTAATTTATGGATATTCCAAGGGATTATAGAGAAATTAGTTCATAATAAATGGAAGGATAATTTTAACATAATAAATTATTTAATTTTTGGATAAAATAAATAAGAGCTATTTTTCAAGTAATTATAATGAATTTAGTGCAATATATATGGACGGATAATTTTTGTATCACCCGAAATGTTATGAAGTGGGGATTTTTATACATCTATATTATACAAAATACATAAAAATGTAGAACGATGAAATGAAATGAGGTTTAACGTCCTACTGTTTTGCTCCTAAACTGGACTAATGAAGATGGGGCATATGCCATACAGTGTGCTATGAGGGAAATTTTGCCCGGGCAGAGGCGCTACGGCTTACTCTTATATCGAATTCCAACTGCCAAGGGAATACATGCACGCCAATGTGTACACGGGACCTCGGTTTTTCGTCCCATCCAAATGACTAGACAGCTGTCCTTCTCAGGCCCTCCGTCCTGCATCACTGACAAGGGAAACCACATCAGAAAATCAAGATGCACTTTCTCGGCCAATGCAGGGATCTAACACCCGACCTCCAGCGTCTTACCCACTGTTACAGTTTAATTGTCCGATATACCTGATATACATAGCTTTATTTATATAACAGTATAATTAAAAATCTAAACTATTACATAGATGATGGAATTTTGCTTTAATATGTGAATGGGTTACATTGAGGTATATAAAATAATCGTAAATGTTTGAAATAATTACAGAGATAATATTTATGAGAAAATAAAGACCTTGATTTATTTGTCTTATTTTCATTTTTAGTACTATTATTATTACCACATCCTCACTAGAGAGAGAGAGAGAGAGAGAGAGAGAGAGAGATGGGGTTTAAGGTCGACTGGCACAAACTAGGTCATTTGGGGACTAACACATGGTTCAATTTCATTTTAATAATTCACTTGTGCGTAGGGGTCTTTAGCAGAGGGAGGAAACCGGAGGACCCGGAGAAAACCCACGAGGTTGGATCCTCACTAATGACAATGATTATAGCAAATGAAATGAAATGTTTTTTTTAACGTCCTACTGTTCTGCTCGATGGGCTAATGAAGATGGGCATACGCCTTACAGTGTGCCTTAAGGGAAATTTTGCCCGGACAGTGGCTACGGCCTACTCTTATATCGAATTCCAACTGCCAAAGGATCTTTTACGTGCACTCCAATGTGTACACGGGACCTTGGTTTTTCATCCCATCCGAATGACTAGATAGCACTCCTTTTCCGACCTGCATCATTGACTAAAAGCAATTGAGGCAAAATAATCATAATTTAGAATCGTCCACAGAGTCTTACCTGTCAGACACTCAGATATCGAATTCCAACTGTCAGCAGTTCTTTTATCTGCACACCAATGTGTACATAAGACCTCTGTTTTTGTCCCATCCGATCGATTAGACAGGCTCCCCACCCAATACCACTGATAAGGGGGAACTATACAGGAAAATGCTGAACTATCTCAGCCAAACCAGGATCGAACCTCGAACCTTCTGGTTGGTTACAATTTAAATTTTTTATCAGAAGTGACACCATATTGTCCAAAGCTGACCTTTTTGATAATTTTGACGTTTATCAGAAGGTTTTTTGTGCATACATGTGTCAATTATCATTCAATTTTCATAAAATGTTTGCCTTTTTCATAAAATGTTTGCCATTTGATGCCCTATGTCATCTTTGATTTTATAAAACCAATTTAACATTTTCCTTATAACAGGAAGTAACTTAATTTGGGCAAAAACTGTATTTTTAGCCTTCAAAACAAATAATTTCTTTAAAAGAATTTTATTCATTATTTGTATAAAATTATATTTGATGCTAATCAACATATAGAATGAACCAATACGATCAACAGATATCAAAAAATTGTTTCTAACATTTAATGAGGTATTATAAGGATGGGTTAATTAGAGTTTTTATTTTTTTCTATAAATATTTTTAATGAATCAATTTGGTTTAAAAGGCTAAAAAATGTGTATATTATAATCCTTATATCACAACTTTTTTTCCTTTGAAATACTTTTAATGCTAATGCAACTATTGGGTTTAAAGAGCCCCCCCCCCCCCCCCACACACACAAAAATAAAATATATTCATAACTTAAAAGTTGTTTTGGGGGTTTTGTTCATTTTAAAGAAAATCTGTCTTTAAGCCCTTAAATTTATATATAAAAACTTCATATATTTAATGGTTGTCTCAAAATTTTCAAAATATTGAAAACAAAATAACAAAAAATATACTTGTATGTACCAATTATTTATAACTTTAAAAAAATGGGTGTGGCACTTTCATAATTATATTTTAAAAATAAAAATGTGAACACTAAAATTTCCAATTAAACCATTTTTATGAACCGTAGAATGAACTATTTTAGAGCGCAAGCTTTAAAGCATTGGAATTCTTTTTTTGTTGTTAAATAACTGGTTTATTTTTTTTAGGCTACAGCTCCTGAAATTATTAACTATATAGTATTCATTAGTATTACACAGAGCTGAATCGAGTCTATATTTTACTATGAAAAAAAAAAAGTTCAACTCTTTATTATTCTAGTAAAACTATAGAAATATAAAGCCACGGTATGAATCAAATAAACTGATAAACTGGGCTTGTTGACAAGGCCCTGGTTCACCATTCGCATGCCTTTTGTTTACATTGGTTTTCGCTGACGTTACAACCACCACCGGATAACAGACGCCGTTCTCCACCAATTTAGCGTCTGCGCGCGGTCTAGTTAGTATAGACGTCATTGACTACACGAGTTCGTTACAAGACATCAAATTCGCACCAAATAATGAAACTCAAACATAACAACTAATAATACTATTTAAATATTAATAATGGGTTTGATCTACATAGTATCAGCAATAAGTATTCTTGCACAGGTTTATTCAAATTATCAAGCAAAAGTTACACAACTTAAAATTTCTAAAATATAATTCAAACTGTTCATGAAAATTACAGGTAAGGAAAAGCAGGGGTTCCAGGCTTTTTTCGGTTCTACTCCTAGAACGGTGTCTTCAAGTTCTGCTGATGCTGTGCATGTAAGTAGTTAATGATGTATTTTATGTATCATATTAAAATTATAATTAAATTATTAATGTTATAGCCTGCTTTGGGGATCAACTGGGGTTCAATGTCCTACTTTTCAGCTCCAACACAGGCATACCCCATACACTGACGTAAATTTTGTTCGGCCTACTCTTATTGCAAGGTCATCATTGAAAGGGTTGGGTATCGCTCAAATTTAAGAACTCGGCCATATAAGATGAAACGAAATTTAGGTAAGCCTGGGAGAAAAAAATGAAATCTTTGAAAAGTTGAGAATCTTCAGTGATTTATTGCTTTGCCTAGCTAAATTACAATAATTTACAATCAAATTCTTTCAAAAATCCAAATCCCCCCCCCCCCCCCAGGCTTACCTAAATTTCGTTTCATCTTATATGGCCGAGTTCTTAAATTTGTGCGTTACCCTTTCAATGAAGTCCGCCAAGTCGGTTAGAAGACGGAGACGTATTTTTTAACAGCATGTTGTGTCGCTCATACTGACTCTAGCGAGGTAAGCAAGGTCTTATTTTCTCACCAAGATGTTCATTTAATTTGTTCAGGCGTTCACAGGGACTGACACGCGACCGTTTAGCAGTAACAAGTTGCCCAGTAAAATTGACTGGGAAGCCATTGGAATTTCAACAAGGATTCAATAGGAGAGTCCCTGAACGTAGAGGCCGAGTGTAATGAGACCTACGTTCAGAGCTAAACTAAGAAATTAGTAGAAAGATATTTTCCAGATCGGCCAAGATCTATAGTAGTAGGGACCTTTCGCATCCGTACCAAAACGAACATGGCGCTATTGCACTTTCGTACCTCTACCAGTTCCCGTGATCGTAGGCACTTGAAATTTTCAGAGGATGTTAAGGGGGGCTAGCAATGACCACACGGCGCTATTGCACTTTCGTACCTCTACCAGTTCCCGTGGTCGTAGGAACTTGAAATTTTCAGAGGATGTTCAGGGGGACTAGCAATGACCACACACCAAATTTCAGCCGAATTGATCAATAACTTTTTATTTTACCGACCTTTTAATTTCTAACGAGAGAGAGAGCTTCATCCGTTTGACGCCATTTGCTTTGTTTACTATTTAGACTCGAATAACAAGACACTAAGACGGAAACAGACACACTGCACTAGCTGCCTAACACTGCAGTTCATAAAAATTAATATAATTTTCGTATACTTTAATTTTAGCGCGAAGCCACCATTTTCTATAAAATACTATTTGGTGTTGATCAGTGGATTTGTTTACTATTTAGACTCGAATAACAAGACACTAAGACGGAAACCGACACACTGCACTAGCTGCCTATCTCTGCAGTTCATAAAAATTAATATAATTTTCGTATACTTTAATTTTTGCGCGAAGCCACCATGTTCTATAAAATACTATTTGGTGTTGATCAGTGGATTGGCCTTTAGGTGTGAATATTGCCGTGACCTTGATTTTGACCTTGAGTCTTAACTTCCCATCCATATCAGGGCCTTTGCGTTTATGATTGCCGTGGCCTTATTTCTTACTGTATTTTCAAAGTTAATGTTCGAGGTGAAAGCAGAGACGACGTCCTTCGGAAAAGATGATTGGGTCAAAGTCGTAGGTCAAGGTCATGCTACAGAAAACTAAACTCAAACTTTTCAAAGTCATTTTTTGGACATTTGACCTTGACTTACGACCTTGACCCCGTAACCATTTTCGAAGGCTTTCACCATGGCTTGAATCATGGACGTTTACCTTGGTTCTGTCACACACTGCTCGGTCAGAAAAGGGTCAAACGGAGAGGGGGCCGTGTCCGAAAGGAAGTCAATGGGCGTGGTCAATGTGAAAGGTCGTAGTGACCTCCACTAGTCACCGTTAACCATCCGTGACCTTGACCCTGACCTAGAGTCCGAACTTCCCATCCATCTCGGACCCTTTGCGTTTATGCGTGCCGTGACCTTATTTCATTTTTGGGACAGGGCCAGGGTAAACGTCGATGGTTCAAGCCAAGATGATGGACTTTGAAAATGGTTACGGGTCAAGCTCGTAAGTCAAGGTCAAATGTCCCAAAACTGACCTTGAAAAGTTTGAGTTCAGTTTTCTATAACATGACCTTGACCTACGACTTTGACCCAATTATCTTTTCTGAGGGACGTTGTCTTTGATTTCACCTCAAGCATTAACTTTGATAATACAGTAAGAAATAGGGTCACGGCAAGCATAAACGAAAAGGGCCCGAGATTGATGGGAAGTTTGGACTCAAGGTCGAAGTCAAGGTCACGGATGGTTAAAGGTGACTAGTGGAGGTCACCACGAACTTTCACATTGACCACGCCCTTGACTTCCTTTCGGGCACGGGCCCCTCTGCGTTTGACCGTTTTCTGATCGAGCAGTGTGCGACAGGACCAAGGTAAACGCCCATGATTCAAGCCAAGTTGATAGCCTTCGAAAATGGTTAGGGGTCAAGGTCGTAAGTCAAGGTCAAATGTCCCAAAACTGACTTTGAAAGTTTGAGTTTAGTTTTCTGTAACATGACCTTGACCTACGACTTTGACCTTTTAACTTTTCTGAAGGACGTTGTCTCTGCTTTCACCTCAAGCATTAACTTTGATAATACAGTAAGAAATAGGGTCACGGCAAGCATAAACGAAAAGGGCCCGAGATGGATAGGAAGTTTGGACTCAAGGTCAAAGTCAAGGTCACGGATGGTTAAAGGTGACTAGTGGAGGTCACCACGACCTTTCACATTGACCACGCCCATTGACTTACTTTCGGACACGGGCCCTTTGCGTTTGACCCTTTTCTGACCGAACAGTGTGCGACAGAACCAAAGTAAACGTCGATGGTTCAAGTCAAGGTGATAGCCTTCGAAAATGGTTACGAGGTCAAGGTCGTAAGTCAAGGTCAAATGTCCCAAAACTGACTTTGAAAAGTCCGAGTTTAGTTTTCTGTAAGATGACCTTGACCTACGACTTTGACCCAATTATCTTTTCTGGAGGACGTCGTCTCTGCTTTCACCTCGAACATTAACTTTGATAATACAGTTAGAAATAAGGCCACGGCAAGCATAAACGCAAAGGGCCCGAGATGGATGGGACGTTTGGACTCAAGGTCAGAGTCAAGGTTACGGATGGTTAACGGTGACTAGTGGAGGTCACCACGACCTTTCACATTGACCACGCCCATTGACTTCCTTTCGGACACGGACCCTCTGTGTTTGACCGTTTTCTGACCGAGCAGTGTGCGATAGGACCAAGGTAAACGTTCATGATTCAAGCCAATGTGATAGCCTTCGAAAATGGTTACGGGGTCAAGGTCGTAAGTCAAGGTCGAATGTCCCAAAAATGACTTTGAAAAGTTTGAGTTTAGTTTTCTGTAACATGACCTTGACCTACGACTTTAACCCAATTATCTTTTCTGAAGGACGTCATCTCTGCTTTCACCTCGAACATTAACTTTGATAATACAGTAGGAAATAAGGCCACGGCAAGCATAAACGCAAAGGCCCCGATATGGATGGGAAGTTTGGCCTCAAGGTCAAAATCAAGGTCACGGCAATATTCACACCTAAAGGCCAATCCACTGATCAACACCAAATAGTATTTTATAGAAAATGGTGGCTTCGCGTAAAAATTAAAGTATACGAAAATTATATTAATTTTTATGAACTGCAGTGTTAGGCAGCTAGTGCAGTGTGTCGGTTTCCGTCTAAGTGTCTTGTTATTCGAGTCGGTTTCCGTCTTAGTGTCTTGTTATTCAAGTCTAATTAGTAAACAAAGCAAATGGCGTCAAACGGATGAAGTTCTCTCTCGTTAGAAATTAAAAGGTCGGTAAAATAAAAAATTATTTATCGATTCGGCTGAAATTTGGTGTGTGGTCATTGCTAGCCCCCCTTAACATCCTCTGAAAATTTCAAGTGCCTACGACCACGGGAACTGGTAGAGGTACGAAAGTGCAATAGCGCCTGACCATACACCAAATAAATCGATAAATAACTTTTTATTTTACCGACCTTTTAATTTCTAACGAGAGAGAACCTCATCCATTTGACGCCATTTGCTTTGTTTACTAATTAGACTCGAATAACAAGACACTAAGACGGAAACCGACTCGAATAACAAGACACTTAGACGGAAACCGACACACTGCACTAGCTGCCTAACACTGCAGTTCATAAAAATTAATATAATTTTCGTATACTTTAATTTTTGCGCGAAGCCACCATTTTCTATAAAATACTATTTGGTGTTGATCAGTGGATTGGCCTTTAGGTGTGAATATTGCCGTGACCTTGATTTTGACCATGAGGCCAAACTTCCCATCCATATCGGGGCCTTTGCGTTTATGCTTGCCGTGGCCTTATTTCTTACTGTATTATCAAAGTTAATGTTCGAGGTGAAAGCAGAGATGACGTCCTTCAGGAAAGATAATTGGGTCAAAGTCGTAGGTCAAGGTCATGTTACAGAAAACTAAACTCAAACTTTTCAAAGTCATTTTTGGGACATTTGACCTTGACTTACGACCTTGACCCCGTAACCATTTTCGAAGGCTATCACATTGGCTTGAATCATGGATGTTTACCTTGGTCCTGTCGCACACAGCTCGGTCAGAAAACGGTGAAACGCAGAGGGTCCGTGTCCGAAAGGAAGTCAATGGGCATGGTCAATGTGAAAGGTCGTGGTGACCTAGACTAGTCACCGTTAACCATCCGTGACCTTGACTCTGACCTTGAGTCCAAACTTCCCATCCATCTCGGGCCCTTTGCGTTTATGCTTGCCGTGGCCTTATTTCTAACTGTATTATCAAAGTTAATGTTCGAGGTGAAAGCAGAGACGACGTCCTCCAGAAAAGATAATTGGGTCAAAGTCGTAGGTCAAGGTCAACTTACAGAAAAACTAAACTCGGACTTTTCAAAGTCAGTTTTGGGACATTTGACCTTGACTTACGACCTTGACCTCGTAACCATTTTCGAAGGCTATCACCTTCGCTTGAACCATCGACGTTTACTTTGGTCCTGTCGCACACTTTTCGGTCAGAAAAGGGTCAAACGCAAAGGGCCCGTGTCCGAAAGGAAGTCAATGGGCGTGGTCAATTTGAAAGTTCGTGGTGACCTCCACTAGTCACCTTTAACCATCCGTGACCTCGACTTCGACCTTGAGTCCAAACTTCCCATCCATCTCGGGCCCTTTTCGTTTATGCTTGCCGTGACCCTATTTCTTACTGTATTATCAAAGTTAATGCTTGAGGTGAAAGCAGAGGCAACGTCCTTCAGAAAAGATAAATGGGTCAAGGTCATGTTACAGAAAACTGAACTCAAATTTTCAAAGTCAGTTTTGGGACATTTGACCTTGACTTACGACCTTGATCCCATAACCATTTTCAAAGCCCATAATCTTGGCTTGAACCATCGACGTTTACCCTGGCCCTGTCGCACACTGCTCGGTCAGAAAACGGTCAAACGCAGATGGGCTCGTGTCCGAAAGGAAGTCAATGGGCGTGGTCAATGTGAAAGTTCGTGGTGACCTCCACTAGTCACCTTTAACCATCCGTGACCTTGACTTCGACCTTGAGTCCAAACTTCCCATCAATCTCGGTCCCTTTTCGTTGATGCTTGCCGTGACCCTATTTCTTACTGTATTATCAAAGTTAATGCTTGAGGTGAAAGCAAAGACAACGTCCCTCAGAAAAGATAATTGGGTCAAAGTCGTAGGTCAAGGTCATGTTATAGAAAACTGAACTCAAACTTTTCAAAGTCAGTTTTGGGACATTTGACCTTGATTTACGACCTTGACCCGTAACCATTTTCAAAGCCCATCATCTTGGCTTGAACCATCGACGTTTACCCTGGCCCTGTCCCAAAAATGACTTTGAAAAGTTTGATTGTCGTGGCCTTATTTCTTACTGTATTTTCAAAGTTACATGTAATGTTCGGGGTGAAAGCAGAGACGACGTCCTTCAGAAAAGATAATTGGGTCAAAGTCGTAGGTCAAGGTCATGTTACAGAAAACTAAACTCAAACTTTTCAAAGTCATTTTTTGGACATTTGACCTTGACTTACGACCTTGAACCCATAACCATTTTCGAAGGCTATCACCTTGGCTTGAACCATCGACGTTTACCCTGGCCCTGTCGCACACTGCTCGGTCAGAAAACGGTCAAACGCAGATGGGCTCGTGTCCGAAAGGAAGTCAATGGGCGTGGTCAATGTGAAAGTTCGTGGTGACCTCCACTAGTCACCTTTGACCCAATTATCTTTTCTGAAGGACGTCGTCTCTGCTTTCACCCCGAACATTAACTTTGAAAATACAGTAAGAAATAAGGCCACGACAATCATAAATGCAAAGGCCCTGATATGGATGGGAAGTTAAGACTCAAGGTCAAAATCAAGGTCACGGCAATATTCACACCTAAAGGCAAATCCACTGATCAACACAAAATAGTATTTTATAGAAAATGGTGGTTTCGCGCAAAAATTAAAGTATACGAAAATTATATTAATTTTTATGAACTGCAGAGATAGGCAGCTAGTGCAGTGTGTCGGTTTCCGTCTTAGTGTCTTGTTATTCGAGTCTAAATAGTAAACAAAGCAAATGGCGTCAAACAGATGAAGTTCTCTCTCGTTAGAAATTAAAAGGTCGGTAAAATAAAAAGTTATTGATTGATTCGGCTGAAATTTGGTGTGTGGTCATTGCTAGTCCCCCTTAACAACCTCTGAAAATTTCAAGTTCCTACGACCACGGGAACTGGTAGAGGTACGAAAGTGCAATAGCGCCAACGAACATAATATGTTTGTTTACTTTTTCGTTTTCGTATCCTCTTACACATGGTTTTGCAATCGGACGTACAATAATAACAAGATGGCATTAATTTCCACTCCATGAACTTCTCGGTCAAGGCAAAGTTTTCAATCGATTTTTTGGCAAATGTACACATTCTACGAACTCTACACAACCAACAATATGGTGGAAAATTCAATATAGGCCTACTGTATGAGACAAGAAACATTTTCGTTTGCATACCTACATAAAACTGCACAATAGGGACCTTTAGCATCGGTATGAAAATGAATACGAAAACGTCATCGATTCGTGTGTACTTGTGATATGTCACTCCGTAATGAGTGTTCGGCCAGTGAAAAACGTTACGCGTATGGAGCTGGATTTATGTAGGTATGCAAACGAAAATGTTTTTTATACGCCCACATTTTCATGTGGGCGTATTATGCCGTCGCCCCTGTCCGTCCGGACGTCACAATTTTTATCCGATTTTTTTTAAACTTGAAATGTAAGTTTATAACCCAAAGATCTTGGTTCCTTTCGATATTCGCGCATATCGGACCATAACTTCCTGAATTATGGCCCCCGATTGTACGAAAAATCGCGTTTTTAGCTTGTGGACCCTATAGAGTAATCATTTTTATCCGATTTAAAAAAACGTATTATTATATCACCGTTACACCCTAAGGAAGGTTGAGTTCGAATTTCGTGAAAATCGGCCCAGAATTGACAGACAAAATGGCCGCCGTTCGTTCTCAAATAGCGTAAAAATATGGTATATCAAGGTTGTGGACCCTATAGAGGTCACAATTTTTATCCGATTTTGTTGAAAATTGAAATGTAAGTTTATAACCCAAAGATCTTGGTTCCTTTCGATATTCGCGCATATCGGCCTGTAACTTCCTGAATTATGGCCCCTGATTGTACGAAAAATCACGTTTTTAGCTTGTGGACCCTATAGAGGTCATAATTTTTATCCGATTTAAAAAAACGTATTATTACATCACCGTTACACCCTAAGGAAGGTTGAGTTCGAATTTCGTGAAAATCGGCCCAAAATTGACAGACAAAATGGCCGCCGTTCGTTCTCAAATAGCGTAAAAATATGGTATATCAAGGTTGTGGACCCTATAGAGGTCACAATTTTTATCCGACTTTTTTGAAACTTGAAATGTAAGTTTATAACCCAAAGATCTCGGTTCCTTTCGATCTTCGCGCATATCGGACCGTAACTTCCTGAATTATGGTCCCTGATTGTACAAAAAATCGCGTTTTTACCTTGTGGACCCTATAGAGGTCATAATTTTTATCCGATTTAAAAAAACGTATTATTACATCACCGTTACACCCTAAGGAAGGTTGAGTTCGAATTTCGTGAAAATCGGCCCAAAATTGACAGACAAAATGGCCGCCGTTCGTTCTCAAATAGCGTAAAAATATGGTATATCAAGGTTGTGGACCCTATAGAGGTCACAATTTTTATCCGACTTTTTTGAAACTTGAAATGTAAGTTTATAACCCAAAGATCTCGGTTCCTTTCGATCTTCGCGCATATCGGACCGTAACTTCCTGAATTATGGTCCCTGATTGTACAAAAAATCGCGTTTTTACCTTGTGGACCCTATAGAGGTCATAATTTTTACCCAATTTAAAAAACCGTATTATTATATCACCGTTACACCCTAAGGAAGGTTGAGTTCGAATTTCGTGAAAATCGGCCCAAAATTGACAGACAAAATGGCCGCCGTTCGTTCTCAAATAGCGTGAAAATATGGTATATCAAGGTTGTGGACCCTATAGAGGTCACAATTTTTATCCGATTTTGTTGAAACTTGAAATGTAAGTTTATAACACAAAGATCTCAGTTCCTTTCGATATTCACGCATATTGAATTGTAATTTCCTGATTTATGGCCCTTGATAGTAGGAAAAATCACTTTCTTGTTAGCTTGTTCTCTATCCATCTCTCGAAAATGTGGGCGTATCCTGCCTGGCAGCCGCTGGTTGTCTCATATATGGAATTTTTCACAATTTTACGAGGCCTTGTGTATATTGTTGATTGTGTAGAGTTTAAAATTGTAGAATGTGCTCAAATGCAATATTCTGTTGAAAACTTTGCCTGGATAGAGGGGTTCATGTAGTGGAAATTAATGCCATCTCTAGAGGGTACAAAAACGTAAACATATGTTCCTTTTGGTACCAATGCGAAAGGTCCCTAATGTATCAGCTTACTTCAACTTGTCTTGTTCGCCACTGAATTGATTTACTCTTTGAGGGTTTGCGCAAGAAAAAAAAG